AGATGTGTACGGTTGAACTAAAACAGCTATGAAATGGGGTAGTAGCTTTTTTCAAGTAGACTATGAGATATGGATGGCAACGGGTTCCTATGGGGGCGGAGACCCTCTCCCCATCCTCATTCCCGTCAGTGACGAGTATGGGGACTCCACGGGGATTTTTGGTGGACGATAAAAAATAACCTCCGTCCTCATATCTGCGGTGAATAATAGGTCTCCGTGGGTATTTGGAGTCCTCACCAAATAAAACTCGATGCTCATTTCTTGTTTGAGAAATTAACTGAAGATAGAATGAATTAAGAGCTTGAATGAGTCTCAAAACAACAATATGATTATCGTTTAATGCAAATGCGAAAAAGAAGTTGCGCAGGCATGTAAACAATGAAAATCGCATTTTGACAATCTTGTGAACAATCGAAGGGAAAATGAAAATCGGAAATAATAAGGCCAAAAGAATGAGATCTACTTCACCTCAAAATAAATCATCAAGCACAGATACTTAGACACTCACAAATACTCACAATTCAGGCTCAGGCAAGTTGCAAGTAGTTAATTGAAGAATAGAAACAGAGATATGGGCACTACCTTTCGAAGGTTATCGAGAATGTAGGTTGAAGGGAATTGGCCGATTGAAGAACAAAAATAAAGCCAATGAGCTACAACGCAGAGGAGAGGAGACTGGAGTGTAGAGAGGAGGAATCGCAGAGCAGATTCACAAATCTCAGAAATTTGAAATAGTCTTTCTAGTTCTAGGGTTACTAGCAAATTGGGTTGGGCTTGGGTAATTAAGTTTAAGAAGATTATGGGTTGAACTGGATTATATAACTGAGTTTGGAAAAACTGAAAAAAAAAAGAAAAGGGATGGGTGGATTAATTAGGTTGAGTAAATAAAAATTAATTGTTAATATATTTTAAAAAATATATATAAATAAATTTTTTTATTTTCTTATTTTATATGGACCTTCACAGTTCTTCACAGGGCAGAAGAAATTCCCCACGAAATTTCACAAGAAAAAAAATGCTTCCATCCCCGCCCCACGGGAGAAATATTCTCAAAATCTCCATCCTCGTGACGAGAAAATCCGTGCAACTCCATGGGTCGTGGAAGAAATTGCCATCACTACGATGAGAGTTAAATTTTTAATCAATTAAATTTAAATATTAAGATCTGAACTGAACTATTACATTCGAAAATCTATTCAATGTCTTTTTACTTGAAGCCATTGAAGTTAAGATATTGTGGGGGTAACTTTACTATTTATAAAAGTATTTATGTATTTTTATATATTAATATTATAATAAAATAAGATAAAAATAATATTTTTAATATTTATTTTTACTAACATAATTTT